TGCCCTGCCCTGGCACAGCACCATGCAGCCTCAGGTCCCTGCTGATTGCTCGTTAAGGCTCATTACAGGAACTCGGCCTCTGCTGTGGGCACAGCCATCTTGGCCGTTATGGTTTGACAGTCAATTTGCATGTTCCCTCTTTATTAGATAAGATGATATTGACAATGAGATCCCTTTTAAAACTCGTTAGTTCCATGATAGCAGGGTAAATTTAGGCACTTTGACTAGTTGTTTCTAGTGAATTCCTGTGGAGTCTGTGCTAGTGTTATAATCTTTGCTTTGTAGCAATATTATAAACACAGTAGAACACAGTCTGTTGTACAAAGTTTTAAGTGTGTAGCTTGGTGAATTTTCATGAAGTAAACACGTTTACAGAGTGAACACATGTAATCTTACCTGACTAAGATGCAAAATAGTACCAGAGCCTAGGAATGGCCTCTGTGGGTCACACTGTGAGGCATTTTTATCTTTTTTTTTTCTAGATAACAAAGCTTTTTTTGTCATCTCCATGTCAGACAATGGAGCCCAAATCTATGAGCTGGTGGCACAGACAGTTTCGGAAAAGACTGTGTATGTATTAAACATCGCTGTTTCTCTAACTTTTTAAATTAAATCTATTGGGGTGACATGAGTTAATGAAATTATATAGGTTTCAAGTGTGTAATTCTCTGATGCATTGTCTGTATATCGCATTGTGTGTTTACTGCGCAAAGTCCATCGCTCCCACCCCTTGGTGCACCAATGTTTTCAATGTCCTGACTATAATCTTTCACAAACATAACATTGTTTCTCCAATAGGACCTTGAAAACCAAAAAATAAGCAATTCCTCTATATTCTTTTAGATAGTTTTTCTAAGAACGTGTTGCTTTTTAGACTGATGTCCCTTATTTTGATTCTGTTCTACTGAAAGTGTGTTTTCTAAAGAAAAAAATGCAGACGGGTCATGGGAAGTGTTTTAATGGGCAGTGTGTTCATGATATTGTTAGGATTTTCTTTAAGGTACAGTTATAATCTCTGCTTAATAGAGATTTATGATCATGTCAACATAAATATGATCTCTGTCAGAAGTACAGTTTCTTGTTTGGTTGGTTTGTTTTGGTTTCTGGTATATTTGTTGCAGCTTTTATTTTTGCGTTCTCAGTGTATTTAAAGGCCTTTCTTTTTCCTTCCCCTTTTGTATGTGGGATTCTTGGAAAAATTCCACAGCTGGCAGGACCTAATCTGTAGGATGGCCGCGTCGGTGAAGGAGCCGTCCACAAAGCCAATCCCATTACCACAGTCTTCTCCTTCGAGTGAGTGTGCCTGGGCCTGTCTGAGGAATGTCTTTGTTTGTTTGTTTTCTTTTGGTCAGAACAGGAGTGGGTGATGTTTGCATTTTGTTGCAGTGTGTGTAGGCACCTGTGATGTTCAACAATGGTCTTCTTTCTCCTACAGAGGAGACAATGACGATGGTGAGCCTCCCAAATTGAAGGCGGAGCCTCATGGCGTTTCAGTCGCTGGCCTGCAGAGTCCAGGTAAACTTACCTGCTAGTTTCCTGGGAAGAATGTGGTCCACGTGTTGCTTATGAAAATGCACAGAAACCGCTGGCCACCTGGCTCAGTGGGTGAACATCGACCTATGAACCAGGAGGTCACGGTTCGATTCCCAGTCAGGGCACATGCCTGGGTTGCAGGCTTGATCCCCAGTAGGGGTTGTGCAGGAGGCAGCCAATCAATGGTTCTCTCTCATCATTGATGTTTCTCTCTCTCTCTCCCTCTTCTTTCCTCTCTGAAATCAATAAAAATGTTTTTTAAAATGCACAGAAACTTTAACTCTTTTTGTTTTAGGCAGGTTCGGGCATCAGTTTTTCATTTTAACAAACTTTGCTCATGAGCCTTCTGTGGGCCATTATAACACTGCTCTGACTTAACAATCTCGGTAGTTCATGTGATCATTTTTTTGTCCAAGTATTTCCTGAATGCTTCATGTTAAAAGTTAAGAGATATGTTCTACTTTTCCTATTTCATTGAACAGACAGAGATTTGGGATTAGAGTCTCCCTTACTATCATCAAAACCTCAGTCTCATCCACTGGGCACTTCTGGGAAAGCAGAGGCAGACGAACTCTCTGTGGCAGAGAGGCGGTTTGCACAGGCGCAGCACGCAGAGCGAGCTGTCAAGGAAGCAGGAGTCAGTGACCAAATCACAACCCCAGACCCATATGTGCCTGTCTCGGAAGAGCGGTGGGCGTTGGACGCACTGAGGAACTGTAAGTTTGATTCATAAGTTCACACAGATTCTTAGTAAGTACCAGAGCTGTGTCATGTACTATGCAGTCATTTAGGGAGAATCTAAGGAAGTATAAACAGACTTTTTCTTGGTTGAATTTTACAGTCTAGTTGGGAGGATAATAGAAACATTGCCCATCTTTTTAACCGTTTGAGTCCCAAGCAGCGCGATCGCGCTGCTGAGATTTTATGTCGAGAAAACATACGATTCGTTTGAGTCCCAGGGGGGTATTGAAAAAACACTGTCGAAGAATCCCAAACAGCGCAACCGCGCTTTTCTCTAAATGAGTACGAAAAGACCCAAACAGCGTGATAGTGCTTGTTTTATTTTCTGTCGAGAAATAAAATAACTCAAACGGTTAAGTAAACACATAGGGACGTCCAAAGTGATCTGGTCAGGGGGACCAGGGCAGGGAGGCATCAGGAAATAAGAGCCTTCAAGGGTGGGTAAGTCTCTGATAGAAGAGTAGAAGTTATTCAGCAAGAATATGATGACACCAAAAGCACAGCGAGGGGAAACTGAGGGTGTTCAGAGGGCAGGGATAGACGGCTGGCCTGTGGGAGAGCCTGCAAGCACAGGAGCTGTGTGAGAGGGAGTGCAAAGGGGCAGATGGTGGTGCTGCCCACCTGCTGGAGCCTTGAACACTAGTCTGAGTCCCCTGAACTTTACGAATGGCACAACACCATGTTCAGAGGGCTTTTCCAAACTACAAATTACTCTTCTAATATGCTTGTGGCAATTGTAGTGTTCTCTGCCGAGGCCCATCCTCACACACAGACACATGCGAACACACACACACACCCCATGCACTTACCCAGGGGTGTGGGCAGGCCTTGCCACTCTTAGCTGCCCCTCCTCGCCAGCCGCTGATGATCAGCTGCAAGTGGGAGTGCCACATCTCTCAGGGGTAGTGGGGGTGGGGGAAAGGCTGAGGATGATGACTCTAACTGTAGAGATCCATTTGAAGTCTTTAAGGTTATGACTAATGAAAAAAGATTTGAGAGCTGTGAAAGGATTTTAATGGAAAGAGGTTTAGAGTGGTACTTACTGTTAGACTATTGTAGTAGCGTGGACTTGAGCCTAAATGGTTAGAACTAGAATGGTGTCAGAGGAATAAATATAAATTGAGGAGTCAACAAATATTTAAAGCAATTGACTTGTTTGGATGTGAGGACAAAGAAAAGGAAATAGAGATAATGTTAATATTTTTATCAGATATAAAAGTCAAAAAGGACCACCACTGCCCACTGTCACACTTGTCCCCCTTTTTTAATTTGCCAGAGATTGTGGGCTTAATTGTAAAACATACTGAGCTTAAAACAATGAATGGTAAAGCATTAAGAGGAAGCAGGAGGTTGCAGTTTCAGGGTGGGATTTGGGAAGGGCTGGGAGGGAGGTGGATGTGAGCATCTCAGCCACAGGGATTCAGAGCGTCTCTTGGAAGTGAATGCAAAGCAGGAAGATGAGGTCAGAGTCTTAGGCCTCCGAGGAACAGAAGATAGAAACTAAGACAGAGCTGAAAGGGGGCATTGGTCTTGCTTATTCAAACCTGATTAGTTCTAGATTCTCCGGAATGAGCCTTGATCATGATTTCTCTTTTAAAAATTGTTTTTTTCAATTACATTTCAAATTCAATATTATATTATTAATTTCAGGTGTACAGCCTAGTGGTTAGGCATTTATAAGTACAATAAAGATTTCTGATGGTTTGACTAACCTTGTCCCAACTGTCATTGTATGAGGGGCCTTACAGCATACACTTGCCTATTCAAAGTTAAATTGGTTCTTTTTTTTTTTTAACAACTTAAGGAAGCTATGCCATGAATAAGGTCATTTAAGAAAAACTAATTACTATTCCCTTTTGAAATTATACACATTGCCAAATCATTAGAATTAAATATTTTTACAGGGAAGTTTATTTTCTTCACCACTTAAGGAAAGTCTTTAGGTTATTATCCTATATAATAAAAGGGTAATATGCAAATTGTCCCCTCGACTGGAAGTTCAACCGGAGTTTGACCAGGGGGCAGGGCCAGCCCGCCAACTGCCCGCAGCCCCTCCTCCTGGCCAGCCCAGCCCAATCGGCCCTGATCTCGGTGGGCCGGCCGGACCCCACCCATGCACAAATTCGTGCACCGGGCCTCTAGTCCTATATAATAAAAGCCTAATATGCTAAGTGTCCCACCAGTTGACAGTTTGAACAGTTGCTATGATGTGCACTGACCACCGGGGCGGGGGGGGCAGATGCTCCAGCCAGTAGGTTAGCTTGTTGCTAAGGTCTGGCTGATCAGGACTGGGCAAGATAGGCCAGACACGCCCTGAAGCCCTCCCACAGTCCCTCCCTGGCTAGCCAACCTCCTGCAGTCCCTCCTCAGGCTCCGTTGTGCACCAGGGCTATAGTAAATGATAAAATAAATGTTCTTTGTGTTTAATTAAATTAGAAAAATAATGCCTATGTGTATAGTGTCTGCTTCTGGAAAAACAGAGCTTGCAGAGTTTTTGTTGTCTAGCTTAACAAAGCTTCTCAGCATCTTTGGGCCTTATCCCAGTTACTAGTAAACAGAAGAAAAAATGGAAGAGGACGTAGTTGGTTACTTAGCAGTTCTCAGTAGGAGCACCTTCTGTTACAAATACCTAGATTTTTCAAGTCTAGTTTAATATTATATTGTCTGTAGATGGTGCTTTATTTCAGAAAATAAAAATAATTCTATGAAATTAATATTTTGACTGCATGTTACTAAAAAGGTGCTTCCTTTTAGAGACACTTGCTGACGGTACTCCTTTAGTTTGGGTTTCAGTCTGAGGTCACAGTTGATGTGCCTTTCCCCCCCCCCCCCCCCCCTCCATCTTGCAGTGGCCCTGTTGGAGCAGCTGCTGGCACAGAAGCTGAGTCTGGCTGAGAAGAGCACTCAGGAAGATTGGCCACATTTTTCAAGATGCAGGACGGCCTTCCCGGGGGTGCAGGCAGACAGTGGAACCCAGAACTTTGAAATTATGAAGTCCTGTCCTGGTCAAAGACAGATGCCCTTGAGAGCTGGAGCAGGTGGCCTTTCAACGTGCAACAGTCCACGGGCCTCAGCGGACTCTCCTGCTCCACGGGACCCCGTGGTCCCGGCATTGCAGGAGGGCCAGGCAGGTAGTGTTGCGGTGACGGGCCACACACCTGTTCCCCTGGAGGCTCCTCCTGCAGAGCCGGAAGGCGGTCTTGATGAGAGTGGGGAGCACTTTTTTGATGCCCATGAAGTACACAGTGATGATAATCCATCGGAGGGTGAGGGAGCAGTTAAACAGGAAGAGAAGGACGTTAACGTACTCATCTCAGGCAAGTTCTCTCACACATACACTTCGATGGTGATTGCCATTACTGTCCTGTGTGTTGAAACAGATGGTGTTTGGGTTTGCAAGCATTGTGTGTGTGTGTTATTTATTCTTTATCACACTGAATAATTATTGAATCTACTCTAGTGCTAGGAGATACAGCATTGAATAAACATAAAAATCAACTCTTCTCATGAAGCTTAGGTGCTAGTAGGGAGAAGAGTAATCTATCTACACTAATAAAAGAGAAACATGGTAATTAGCGTACGACCGCTACCCTTTTCATTGGCTAATCAGTGAGTATATGCAAATTAACTGTCAGCCAAGATGGCGGCCGGCAGCCAGGCAGCTGGAAGCGAACATGAGGCTTGCTTGCTCCAGTGACTGCAGACTGCAACCTTCCCCGCCTCACTTGCCGGCCTCTGAGCTACAACTCTAAGCAACTATGTACTATGTTGCAAATAAGAAGGTAAACAAAACACCAGAAACCAGCCGGACTGAAAGCCAGGCGGACCAAAACATTGTATCGATGTTTTCAGCAGCGAAGCCTCAGAGCTAAAGCTGGCCCAGAATAAAAAAAAAAAAAAAAGAAAACAAGGAGCAGTTGGAAGCTTTAGTCACTCACCACCCGGAAAACAGCCCTCAGTCCCTCACCCAGACTGGCCAGGCACCCCAGTGGGGACCCCCACCCTGATCCAGGACACCCTTCAGGGCAAACCAGCCGGCCCCCACCCATGCACCAGGCCTCTATTCTATAAAGTAAAAGGGTAATATGCCTCCCGGCACTGTGATCGGCGGAGCAGCGAGGCTCCCGGCACCGGGATCAGCGTGACAGGGGGCAGCACCCAAACCCCCTGATCGCCCTGCGGCTCTGTGTGTGACAGGGGGCGGGGCCACAACCTCCCTATCTGCCCTGCTCTGTTCGTGACAGGGAAAGGCGCCCCAACCCCCTGATCAGCCCTGCTCTGTGCCTGATAGGGGGGAGCTCCCCAATCCCCTGATTGCCCTGGGGCTCTGTGTTTGACAGGATGCGGCGCCCCAACCCACCCCCCCACGGGCCCTGCTCTGTGCCTGATAGGGGGGAGCTCCCCAATCCCCTGATCGGCCCTGCTCTGTGTGTGACAGGGTAGAGCCATAACCTCTCCATCGGCCCTGCCCTGAGTGTGACAGTGGTGGCGCCCCAACCCCCTGATCGGCCCTGCTCTGTGGGTGATAGAGGGTGGCGCCCCAATCCCCCTCCACGGGCCTTGCTCTGTGTGTGACAGGGTAGAACCATAACCTCCCCATTGGCCCTGCCCTGAGTGTGACAGGGTGCAGCGCCCCAACCCCCTGATTGGCCCTGCTCTGTGAGTGACAGGGGGCAGCGCCCCAACCCCCTGATGGGCTCTGCTCTGTGAGTGACAGGGGGCGGCGCCCCAACTCCCCAGTCAGCCCTGCTCTGAGCCCGACCAGGGGCTGCACCTAGGGATTGGGCCTGCCCTCTGCTACCCAGGAGCAGGCCTAAGCCAGCAGGTCGTTATCTCCCGAGGGGTCCCAGACTGCGAGAGGGTACAGGCCGGGCTGAGGGACACCCCCTTCCCCCCCGAGTGCACAAATTTTTGTGCACCAGGCCTCTAGTATGTATATAAAAGGCTGCCCTTGCTTGTTTGGCTCAGTGGATACAGCATCAGCCTGTGGACTGGAGGGTCTTGGGTTCGATTCTGGTCAGGAGCACATGCCCGGGTTGCGGGCTCAGTCCCCAGTGGGGGGTGTGCAGGAGGCAGCCAATCAATGATTCCCTTTCATCATTGATGTTTCTCTCTCTCCCTCTCCCTTCTCTCTGAAATCAATAAAAATATATTTTAAAAAATAAAATAAAACAATAAAAGGCTAAGTGACCAACCGACTGTCCGTCTGACCGACCAACTGGCCAGTATATATGACGCGCACTGGCAATTTAAAAATAAATGTTGACTCTCGCATGCGCAATACATGTAAAGCTCTTGAAATAGATATTATTAAAATCCCCCATGAAATGACTTATTAGTGAAGCTACCTTTGGAAATAGCAAAGATAATATTATCAAAGATAATATTTAAAAATATATCTAAATGTGTGATTCTTTGTCCTAAAAATGAACACGTTCATAAACTAAATCATTGGTTCTCAACCTTCTGGCCCTTTAAATATAGTTCCTCATGTTGTGACCCAACCATAAATTTATTTTTGTTGCTACTTCATAACTGTAATGTTGCTACTGTTATGAATCGTCATGTAAATATCTGATATGCACGATGGTCTTAGGCGACCCCTGCACTAAAGGAAGAAAATTTGGGTATACACGATGGCGATTTTCACGCCTATTTGAGTGATGATTCCATCCATTCAATGGATGATGCCAAAAAGGAAAATTTTCCCATCGAATTTCTTAATAGTATTACTCCTTTGGGAATTCCCTGTCATAAATTAAAATTGAAAGTAGGTGCAATCATCATGCAGCTGAGAAATCTTAATAGTAAATGGGGTCTTTGTAATGGTACCAGATTTATTATCAAAAGGTTATGACCTAACATTATCGAAGCTGAAGTATTAACAGGATTGCAGGTAGAGAGGCTGTTCTGATTCCAAGAATTTGTCCCCATCTGACACTGGCCTCCCATTTAAATTGATTCGACGACGGTTTCCTGTTATGCCAGCATTTGCGAAGACTATTAATAATCACAAGGACAAACTCTAGACAGAGTAGGAATATTCCTATCTGAACCCGTTTTCAGACATGGTCAGTTATATGTTGCTTGCTCTCGAGTTCGAACAGCGTGTGACGTTAAAGTTAAAGTTGTAAATACTTCATCACAAGGGAAATTAATCAAGCACTCTGAAAGTGTTTTCACTCTTAATGTGGTGTACAGGGAGATATTAGAATAAGGTTAATCAATTTATCAGTCATTTTTTTATCAGTTTGTGTTTATATCATGTTTTTGTTGTTTTCATATCATGTCTTTGTTATATCATATTGATATTGTTTATTAATCAATTTATATATTTTCATACACATTTTACTAATTTTCTTTCATCTCTGACACTTCTATTATAGAGAAAGGGCAAATAGCGATCTTAAAATATTTCTTCTAATTAATTTCCTTTCAATGTGCACAAATCTGTGCACTGGGCCACTAGTGATAAATAAGTAAGCAAATAAATAGAGTCAGATAGAAGAAGTCTTCACTGGAAAATAAGTCAGACTAAGGGTCACAGAGAGTGAGGGGCAGACAAGGGACCAGGGCAGAGGCCTCTGCTGAGGCTGCATCTGAGCCGAGACCGGGAAGCAGCTTGGGCTGTCGGGCGGAGTCTCAGAGAGAGGAGGCGCAGCTGTGCAGCAAGCTCGGGCTTGGGGTTGAGGAGTGAGTAGCGGGCAGGGAGAACAAAGGTGGAGATGAAGCGGGGGGAGGGGGGACACGTAGCAAGGGAAGTAGTGGCAAGATCATATAGGAACTTTGTAGTTTTTGGCTTTTAACTTTTCAAATGCTAACTCCTATGAATTACTCAGAAAGTACCATGAAAGTTTGCTAAGTTTCCCTGGAACCCGAAGGGAGAACATTAGGTTGTACTTTAAACGTGGGAATTTGGGAATTAATGGCTTTCACAGTCTTGAATAGCTTTTAAAGCTACCACCGTATCACCCAGTCCCGTGTTCTGATGTGCTGATGGCAGTCCTAGTCTCACCGCCTGCTCTGTCTCTGCCCATAGGAAACTATTTGATCCTCGATGGCTATGAAGCCGTGCAGGAGAGCTCCACCGATGAGGAGGGCGCTGCCTGGCTCCCTCCGCAGCCCAGGACGGGCCTCCCCGCCGTGGACCCTGCCCAGCAGCAGCGGCCCTCTTCCCAGAAGGCTCTTTCCGACGGGGCCGTGTCACCATTCACCCCAGAGCCCTTGGCCCCGCAGCGCTGGGGAGCCCTGGAGGGGGCCTGCTTTGAGATCCAGAGTCCCACAGACTCCCAGAGCCGGGTCCTGGAGTGCATCCGCAAGATCGAGGCTGCCCTCGAGCACTTAAAGGTACCTCGGGCCGCGGCCTCCGCAGGACTCTGATGGGAAGCACATGGAATAGAAGGGAGCAAACTCGTTGTTTTCAATGTGTGTTTCTTTGACCATCATCCATGAAAAGGCCTGATCAGAAGCAGAGGTCAGCATTGTTTATCTGGTTACAAAGCACAGCGACAGGAAAAGCTGCAGCCGGTGAGCTGTGCTTGCACAGGCTTCTCTACGTGTCAGGCCCGTGTGTTTCTGAGGGGCCTGGCTGGCCACCTTGTGGAGGCGGAACAAATAGCGGGATGAAGGGCTGGTGTCCTGGGAATCGAGGCCGGGGCATGTTAGTCCGGTGCTGGGGTTGGTGTGGAAATGAAAGTGGCTCCTGTGAGTGAAACACCGCGTGAGGGGTTTGTGAGTTGTGAGTAAGGCTGTCACTCCCTGTCCTGGCCCCTTGTCAAGCCTGACCGCCTGGGTAGCTTCTGAGGAAAGGGCTTTATTGACGTTTCCGTCTGCAGCCCCGCTGCACCCACTGGCCGTGCAGTGGAGGCTTTGGGGACAGTGTTTCCCTGGTTCACACGCAGTGTCCCTGGGGCTGCTGAAGGGAACATCGGGTCCCTGTGCCAGGCGGCCCTGGGAGGGGCCTCTTCCAGCTGCTCTCTCTACTTTCTTCTCACGGGGGAAACATTAAGTCACTCATTTAAGACGGAAAAAGGCAAAAGGAATGAAATTTACTTTTTTCCCTCCACTAACAAAATTTTAATTATGTTTATGTTGCAATTTGGAAGCATACCTGTAATACTGAAAAACATTTTTCTTATTTTCAAAAATAATTGTTTATGACGTTCCAATGAAAAACCTATGCTTTTATTTTACAGAAGGTGGAGGAAAGTTATACCATTCTTTGCCAAAGGCTGGCTGGGTCAGCCCTCACAGACAAACACTCAGGTACGTGGAAGTGGTAGATTCCAGGCTCTGGAATTCTGCCTGAACAAATACATGCAATGATTTCTTACTCTTTAAAATAGAAACCTCAGGAGATTCCTTTTCTTCTTTGTCTTTAAAAAACTGTTTGCAAAAACAAACAAATTAAATAAATAAATATTTAAAAATGTTTCCAAACATCAAAAATCACCCCCTCTCTCTCCCCTTTGCACAGCGGGAGGCAGAGCAGAGGGGCTGCTGACCCTGTGCCCTGGGGCTGCCCGTGCTGTAGCTCCTGACCCAGGCCTGGCCCTCTTGGTCTCGCTGCTCTTTGTCTCCATGGCTGCGGGTGGTGCTGAGCTCAGCACAGCAGTTTACGGTCATTGGCTCTTGGATGAGGCTGTCCTGGTCCAGAAACAGAGACAGAGCTGGGCCCGCAGAGTTCACAGTGTTCCCCAGGTGTCCTGTGTCCTTTCTTCTTACTTTGATCCCCGATGTCCTTATTCTTCCAGATAAAAGCTAGAGCTGCACGTCCTGGAGGTGGTTGGAGTTTGAGCATCAGCACATCCTGGCCCCGGTGTGGAGGGAGAGAGAGTGACAGAGGGTCTGCCTGGGAAGCTTCGGCACTGGCCTGTTCAAGCCCAGAGCAGGACTGTCCTTCCCAGTCGGCAGCTGCCCTGCTGTCCGCGAGGGAACCTCCGCTCCGCACTCTGCGCGCCTCACGACCAGAAACTCATTTTGATTCAGAACAAAAACCAAATGCAGAGAGCTCTGGGTGTCGTGTATGAAACTTTATTTAGACCTAAGAAAATGAGAAAATCAGATGTATTTATTTGACTTCATTCCACATTTGAAAGCACATTTTAATTTCTATCTTGCTGTGTTTTAATTATGTAGTGAGACTTTTGTCCCTTTATATTTAGTTCACCAAAGACCAGTGGCTCCTGAAGCAGAGAGCTCAGGAGGGGTGGCAGGAGGTTGGGTGGAAAGAGAGCAGCCGGGGGAGGAGCACCCAGCCTTCCACTGTGTCTAGCCTCTGCTGCCCAGTGGCTGCTCCCACCTGACCTCAAGGCAGAGCCGGGCCTGTGCTCCTGTGCTCCCCAGGGGGGCAGAGTGCAGGGCCCCCTCCCCTCCGAGGCCACCACTGCGCTCCCGCTGGGATAACTGAACCAGAGCCTCGTGTGCTACAAGCAGCCACTGGGAATGGGTGTGTTTTCTTCTGTGGTTTTCTTTTCCATTGAGGGTTGGGATTTGGGCGGGAAAGGAAAGCAAATTTTATTTTCTTGACTATAAATTTGTTTTTCTTAATATTGCTTCATCTTTATAATTATACATTGGACTACAGCACGTGTGTACAGTTGTTCCTGCACTGTATCAGGAAGTAAAAGCAAAAACAAG